CATGCCATGTAGATGGATCAGATAATTATGCCAATCCTGATTTTTCAGTGCAAATCCAGTTCTGAAACTTCCACCTGATCAGTTGCTCCCAAAATGGGCTATACAGTTAACCAAAATGAATTTTGCTCCTAACACCATAGTTTGTTTCCAACGATCACTAGAGCGAGCTTCACCAGAGTGATGTGGGTTTGATTAAGTACCTGAGCTGGTGTTGTACATGCATATATGTTATGTTCACCGCTCCTACCGGATGCCCGCCGCCGAACTCACCATCCGTTCTACACAAGCAACAAAACCGATTGGATTAGCTATTTCGGTTGTTACTTGTATAGTCTGGTGGAATGATCAGTTCCAGTATTACGCCATGGCGGCATCTTTTATATGCAATATACTGTGAACTGAATTTTCTGTTAGTGAAGTTGACAGAACAGAGTACTACAGGGTAGAGGGGTAGAGCATGCAAGTGGTGATTGTTGTGTGGTGTGTGCGTTAGTTATGTGTGAACCGGGCGTCGAGGTAGCGTTGGCTGGTCATCTGCAGCTCATAGGCGCACGAGCACAGCGGTGGCACGCCCACCACCGCCTCCATTGCCCGCAAGGACGCCACCTAGCCGCCGCCGTATTTGGAGAAGAAGCAACCAGCAGTGTGGCCGCTGCCATGGCCGACGCCAGACCTGGTCGATCTCCCACTTCTGTATTCGAGAAAAAAAGATCTCCCTCTTCTCTTGTGATGAGATGGGGAAGAGATGGTGAGATATGAGGTCGATGGCTTTGGGGAGAGGATACGGGTGGACGCCGGCAGTGAGGCGGCGTGAGGAAGACGAGGTGGTTGGCGGTGGCGACGCGTGAGGGGAGGGGAAGGGAGGGGTAGCGGTGCATGGAGGGGAGTGGGTGTGCGGCGTGCCTAGTTCACGAGAGAGGAGAGAGGTCGTCAAGGGAGCGATCCATGGGAGTTTTTTTTCCTTCTGAGCGAGCCTAGTTAGGCTCTCTGCAGCGTCTAGGCCCAATGCACCACATGTCTTCAAATTGGCCACCAGTAGCAGCCCATAGAACAGACAGGGCCAGTTTGCAAATTTTAAAACATAAGTTTTTTAGCGCCCAAGAAAAACAGAACACATATCTTTCCAAACATAATGAACTATAGGTACCACAAAAAAAACCATAATGAATTATAGGTTGTTACAAGAACTCATGCCATCCAGCTGCCTCCCGCCGACCCTGCCAACATTGTTGTAGCTGCACTCGCAAGCGTTACCATAGGTGATCATTTGCATGATTTCGTGTAAAACAAAATAAGATCTACAAACGGATAGAAGCTACACATACCTTGGCATGCACACAGATTGCAAGCCATACTAAGGTGATAAGTGTTAATAACTTGTACAACATATACAACAGTTAAGATAAGTAAAAGCAATTTGATGAGTCATGGTCTATCAAAGCAAGCTTTATTACTACTCTAATCTATCTTAACAGGTCACACATGATTACAATCCTTTTTGTGTGCAAGTCAAGCTTATCTAGTTTACACGTAACAACTTGTAGAACATTACACAATTGATGTTTGCTAATAACTTCTAGAAAGCTAAAACACTTGACATGTAAAAAGAATTTGATGAGTCATGACCTACTAAATCAAGTTACATTACTAGTCTCATCTATCTTAACAGGTGACACAAGATTACAAACTAAGTTCTGCGCAAGCAATGCTTATCTAGTTTACACATAACAACTTGCAAAACATTACAAACTTAGTTTCAAAAAAAATTAGGCAATCTAGATTAGTGTTTGAGTTGTAAAGTGAATAAGATGAGTCATGTGTGTTATCACAACTTTTTGGTGGTGGAATGATAGTGCCACCAAGCACAACATACCAAATTATGATTTTAGGAAGCATCCAAGCACTTTCCAGACAAGCAAATGCCAATTGTGAAGGAGATGATGCCATGACAGCTATAAATAGGCCTGTAGCATGATGATCATCCTTCCTCATCCATCATTCTCATAAGTAGAGTGCATCATTCAAGCCAAGCAAGCAGTGGTCAATACAAATCCACCATGAAGACCTTTCTCATCCTTGCCCTCCTTGCTATCGTGGCGACCACCACCACAACTGCAGTTAGAGTTCCAGTGCCACAATTGCAGCCACAAAATCCATCTCAGCAACAACCACAAGAGCAAGTTCCATTGGTGCAACAACAACAATTTCTAGGGCAGCAACAACAACAATTTCCAGGGCAACAACAACCATTTCCACCACAACAGCCATATCCGCAGCCGCAACCATTTCTGCCACAACTACCATATCCGCAGCCGCAACCATTTCCACCACAACAATCATATCCACAACCACAACCACAATATCCGCAACCACAACAACCAATTTCGCAGCAACAAGCACAACTACAACAACAACAACAACAACAACAACAACAACAACAACAACAACAACAACAACAACAAATCCTTCAACAAATTCTGCAACAACAACTGATTCCATGTAGGGATGTCGTCTTGCAACAACCCAACATAGCACATGCAAGCTCACAAGTATCGCAACAAAGTTACCAACTGTTGCAACAATTATGTTGTCAGCAACTGTGGCAGACCCCCGAGCAGTCACGGTGCCAAGCCATCCACAATGTCATTCATGCTATTATTTTGCATCAACAACAACAACAACAACAACAACAACAACAACAACAACAACAACAACAACAACAACAACCGTCGAGCCAGGTCTCCTACCAGCAGCCTCAGCAACAATATCCATCAGGCCAGGGCTCGTTCCAGCCATCTCAGCAAAACCCACAGGCCCAGGGCTTTGTCCAACCTCAGCAACTGCCGCAGTTCGAGGAAATAAGGAACCTAGCGCTACAGACGCTACCAGCAATGTGCAATGTCTACATCCCTCCATATTGCTCGACCACCATTGCGCCATTTGGCATCATGAGTACTAACTGAGAAGAGAAGAACTCTATTACTAGATATATGAAACACCGTTTTCTTAAAACATGGTTTGGTCGTTGTAGCGGTGAAAAATAAAGTGACATGCACTATCATGTAAGAACCCGAACTAGACTATTTCAAACTTGGAAATAAAAGACAAACACAGGTCTTGTCTGCATATGATTGTTTGTTTGAGTTCCATTCATGTGACTGTTCACAAGTTCACCCCTAATTATATATATTAAGCATTAGTTAGATGTTTATGTGCATTAATCTAAGGATAACAAAATGAATCTGAAACTTGAATTTAATTAAAGTATTTTCTTGGACTTTCAAATTGAGCATTGATAGTGAGGACTATCCACATCCTTGGCTTGCCCTTGATCAATTATTTCCAAAGAAGCATTCAATTCATCAGTCACTTACATTGATTTTTGTGGCTTGTACTTCTCCTCAACATGAGTATCTTCATTGCAGCTACTCCAAATCTGCCACATAACTGAAGCATTAATAGTGCTCTTCCTTGCATCAAGGAAATATGGATCGAAGATATCTCTTGACCATGTTTTCGGGTGCAACCTTGGGAGTTTTATGTCAAAATATTCTCAAGAAGAATCCAAGAATAAACTTGCATGCTCACGTGTGAAAAGGGCATATGAAGTAACATTTCCTCACCAAGGCCACACATAGGGCACACACATAACCCCATCACATGCCTTTTTAGTTATGCATATGAAGGTAGGATATTTTTCATTACTCTGCACCAAAATACTCTTAACTTGGATTGTACCCTAAGCTTTCGTTGCCTTTTACATTTTTCTTCCCCATTAGATGAACTAGATAGTCCAGCTACCACACGATACCTTGTGTTCATCTCGGCTCTGTACAACAATTGAACAGAAGAAATGTCATTTCTTTACCATACCCATGACCAAATGTTCTCTGCTACTCCCTCCGTCCCAAAATACTGCCATCCATGTCGACAACAATGAGTCATATAGGACCGCTATGCCTCTGTTGAAGGAGGTGGTGGAGCGATCCGGAGATTATTCTGCCATCCATGTTGAGTAAAACCTCACTGGCCACTTGCTCCAACCGCATACACACCGCCATAAACAACGGTTGGTACTCAGTTCGGTGTAGCATACACCATGTAGGAAGCGAGTGCTTACTCCTAGTTACTGAATTATTGTTAGACTATGTATAGCTTCTGTACCTATGTACGTATATGGTACATATTGTAACACAACCATTATATATAATGAGATAAGCCACCCCTAGAGGGTTGTGCTGGTTCCCCAAAACTTATTGTCTTACATGGTATCACGCTAGGTTACGATCGCTTCCGCTTCTAAACCCTAATACCCGCACCGCCGCCGCAGCCGCCGCCGCCTTCACCGCCGCCGCCGCGCCACCGATCGCGCCGCCGCCATGTCGGGCGCCGCCATCACCGGTTCCACTGCTGCGGGCTTCCTCCCGGCCTCTCTTGCGGCTCTGCTCAACCTCCCGCTCGATGCCGTCTCTGTTCCGGCTCCGATCGGGACAAGGAGCATCGGCTCCGTCTTCTCCATGCCGCCGGCGCCCTCGCTTGGGCGTGACCTCGTGGTCCACACCGCGGCGCCGCCGTCCGCTGCGGACTCCGCAGGCGTCGTCCCGCCGCTCCTGCCGCAAGCGGATCACACCGCCCCACTGGCGGGGTTGGCGGCGTCCGCCCCGGCCGCGGGCCTTGCGGCGTCCGCACCGGCCGCGAGCTTTGCGGCGCCCGTCCTGGCTGCGGTCCCGCCTCCTCCCGCATCGGCTTCGGTGCCTCCGGCTGCCTCCATGGTGTTTGCACCCCAGGCAGCCTCCTCGATGGGATTGTCTTCGCCGCCGCCGTTTCACTTCGGTCATCTCATCACCATCAAGCTCTCCGCCGACAACTACATCTTCTGGCGTGCGCAGGTTCTCCCGCTCTTGGGGAGTCACTACCTGCTAGGCTACGTCGACGGATCGCTTCCCTGCCCACCCGCGCTGGTAGACAGCGTGCACGGTCCGGTCTACAATCCGGCCCATCGCGTCTGGACGGGGCAGGACCAGGCGAACCTCTCCTCCATCCAGGGGTCGCTCTCGCCGGCAGTTGCCGGCCTTGTTGTCTTCGCGAAGATGTCTCATGAGGCCTGGACCATCCTTGAGCGCACCTTTGCAGCGCAGTCCCAGGCTCGTGTCTCTGCACTCCGTCGTCAGCTTGGAGAGTGTCAGAAGCTTGACTCCACTGCCACTGAGTTCTACAACAAGGTCAAGGGCCTCGCCGACACATTGGCCTCCATTGGACAGCCCCTCACCGACTCCGAGTTCAACTCGTTTATTGTCAATGGTCTTGATGAGGAGTATGATGCCTTAGTCGAGATCATCAACGAGCGGGGCAACTCGACACCCATGCTGGCACACGAGGTTTTCTCTCGGCTCCTTTTCACTGAGCAACGGGTCGAGACTCGCCGCACCAGGGGCACTGGCTCCCTCTCGGCCAACGCCGCCACCAAGGGTGGCCGCTCTTCTTCATCACCCCGGTCTCCCTTGGGGCTGCCACCGTCGCCCGCCTCGGCCCCCCCACCTACTGCGACCTTACCGGGGGCTGGCGGTCCACGTGTGTGTTAGCTTTGTGGCCGCGATGGGCACTGGGCCTCCAAGTGTCATAAGCGCTTCCAGCGAAGCTTCCTTGGTCTTGGCAATGACGGCAAAGATACACGCAACAATGCCCGTCAGGTCGCCATGGCTGATCGTCCCGCGCCGCAGAAGCAACAGGGACACACTCAGTCCTACTCCATCGATCCACACTGGTACATGGACTCTGGGGCGACAGAGCATCTAACTAGCGAGATGGGGAAGCTTCACACTCGTGAACCCTATCATGGCTCCGACAAGATCCACACCGCCAATGGAGCAGGTATGCACATCTCTCATATTGGTCAAGCATCTCTTCTCACTAGACATGCCAATAGGAGTCTTCAGCTTCGCAATGTTCTTCGAGTTCCATCTGTGACCCGTAATCTTCTTTCAGTTCCTAAACTCACACGTGATAATAATGTGCTTTGTGAATTTCACCCTTTTGATCTTTTTATTAAGGATCGGGGCACGAGGGACATTCTTCTTAGTGGGCGGTTGTGCCAGGGCCTCTACCGTCTGTAGCATCCTGGTGTCGCTCGTGTTTTCAGTGGAGTTTGGGTCTCTCCGTCACAGTGGCATGCTCGTCTTGGTCACCCGGCCACACCTATTGTCCGTCATATTTTGCGTCATCATGAGCTTCCTAGTTTGTCTAGTCATAAAGATGTAGCAGTGTGTGATGCTTGTCAGCAGGGGAAGAGTCATCAACTTCCTTTTTTGGAGTCCAGTCGTGAGGTGAAACATCCTTTAGAACTTGTGTTTTCAGATGTATGGGGTCCTGCTCAGACTTCTGTCAGTGGTCATAATTACTATATCAGTTTCGTTGATGCTTATAGTCGCTTTACCTGGCTTTACCTTATTAAACGCAAATCTGATGTGTTTGATATTTTTGTTCAGTTTCAAAAACATGTTGAACGTCTTCTCAAGCACAAAATTGTTCATGTCCAGTCAGACTGGGGGGGGGCGAGTATCGCAACCTCAACTCTTTCTTTCAGTCGCTTGGGATAGCTCATCGTTTAGCATGTCCACATACACATCAGCAGAATGGTTCAGTCGAACGTAAGCATCGTCATATTGTTGAAGCTGGTCTTACTCTTTTGGCCCATGCATCTGTTCCGTTTCGGTTTTGGAGTGATGCTTTCACCACTGCATGCTTTCTCATCAACCGTACTCCTACTCGTGTTTTAAACATGAAGACTCCCATTGAGGTTCTCCTTAATGAACAACCTGATTATACCTTTCTCAAGGTATTTGGGTGTGCTTGCTGGCTGCATCTTCGTCCATATAACAAGCGCAAGCTTGAGTTTCGTTCTAAGAAGTGTGTTTTTCTTGGCTATAGCTCTCTTCATAAAGGTTACAAATGTCTTCATGTTCCCACTAATCGTGTCTATATATCTCGGGACGTCGTGTTTGATGAGCATGTTTTTCCCTTTGCCAACCTTCCTGTGTCCACTGTCGAACCACCATCCCTGCATTCATCCTCTGTTGCTTCTGACCAATTTGATGATGTTGCATACTCTCCTTTGCTGTTACCTAACCATGGTGCAGGAACCGGACGTGGAGCTCGTTTGGAGCTGTTGGAGGATTCACCATCATCATCGTCGTCTTCTGGTGGGCACGTCGATCGCCCTATGTTGCATGGCATCGATTCGCGTGCCCATGCATGGTCACCCGACGAGCCCGTCGCGCCGAGCATCTCCACTGCTCGGTCCGTTTCGCCAGCGGCCGCCGAG